TGTTTATATGCAACTCTGCCTAAGGAGATATTCATGTTTTGACTGTCATGGCCAGCGTTAAGACACTTCACATAGATAGTCAGTTAGAAAGCACAGATCATCACATATATACACATGTATACATGCATATACATACTTATATGTTGTTTTTTTTTTTTTTTCCTTATTTTCTACATATCATTTCCCATCCGGCAGCAGCTTATGGGGGAAGCCTAAAAAGTGCGCCAGCAGCGGAACGTGGTGAGAAAATGTTTTGCATTATTTACAATTTAGCTTCTTTTTTTTTTTTGTATTTCACTGCAAACGCTGTCGGCTTTGGCTGTGCATCTGGCCCGGCCTTTGGCTCTGGCTCTGGCTCTGGCTCTGGCTCTGGCTCTGGTTCTGGTTCTGGTTCTGTCTCACTTTAGCAGGACATCCGTCATCCCGTCAGTTGTAGTCCGTTGCGCTTGCTTTGGTTTTTGGTTTTATCGCTTCGCTTCCTGCCGCGTCGCTGAACCTGTTGCTCTCATTAACAAATTGTCAGGTGTGCTAACGTCAGCGTCAACGTCAAAGTCAGCGCTGCCATCGACGCTGCAGTTATTCGTCATGCTTTGCTTAATGAGCACAGAGGATGGCGACGGTGGCGGATAGACGGCTTTACGACCAAGCAGAACATGTTTGCAATTCAACTGTAAAGCCATTTAAACGGAAAGTTTGTCTGCTCTCCCTCTCTCTCTCGGTCACACACTCTCTCCACATCTTGCACTCTTCAGTTAGTTCTATAGTCCCTCCCCAACTCCCTCCCTCTCCCTCTCTTGCTGCCCCACTCACACCGCTTTCTGTTTACCTGCTTGTAAACAAACGTCGCTTTAATCAATTCGTAAAAATTCTCAAACTTCAAGTGATAACAAACAAAGGCGAGACGCAATGAAAGAAGGGCCCAGTCTCAGTCTCTGTCTCAGTCCCAGTCTCAGATTCTGTCTCAAACTCAGTCCTCAAGTCCGATCCCAGTTCCAATAACCAGCATCAGGCATCATCTGACAACGGGCTGTTTATTTTCTCACAAAGGCGGTAAAACAAATACAATTTGACTTTGGGAATCGATTTTGAAAACCTAATCAAATTGAGCATCCGCAGCAGCAGCAGCAGCCGCAGCTTCAGAAACAGCAGCACTCTCTCTAATTATACCCTTTCAAAGTGGACAAAACGAATGTTAGATCAATTTTGCTCGCTTAGCATTATTTGCTGAAAGTTTTACTTTACTTCAAGTGGAAAAAAAATAGTATCTAAAGTTGCTTATATTGTTATTGCATGTTAATCATCAGTTATAGGTATACGGGTCCCATATTATGGGTGAAACAATTTTTATATAACAAAAGGAAAATAGTAAATAGGAAAGAATATCAAGTTAACTTAAATGAATAAGGACTCCGATATTTTGCTTAGATCTCGATGGAATAGAGCACATAAGAGATAGACTAAAGAATGAAATACATGAAATACAAGAAAGAGACAGAGAGATATAGAGTGTAACAAGGAAAGAAAGAGTTGGGGAGATACTGATTACGAGAGTAAAAAGGGAAGGGAGTGAGAGAGAGGTAATGAGAAAGTGATCACGAGAATAAAAGAGAAGGAGAGAAAATGTGAGTAAAAAAGTATGAGAGAGAGAGAGAGAGCATACAGCAATCGCCTTATTGCAAAAGTTTTCCATATCGCCCCACCCAGAAGTCAGTTTTGGATCTCCGACAGCGTATCGATGCTTGAGAGTGCGCCGACTCCAGCATCTTTAGCGTTGTGAAATATCCAAATTGAGCGCAAGCAAATGCCGCCTCATTGCTATGTAGGGGTTGGATCTTTTGGCTCCGTAAATAGCTGAAGCGAGGCAGCCAAGTGTGGCATTTTATGCAACACACGCCAAAATGTGAAGCCGTCTTTGGGCTGCAGCCATTTGGCCTGGCCCCAATGGATCACAGTGCAGACAGACAGACGGACAGACCGACAGAGAGACGGAGCTCATCATTTGCATGGACTGCCAGACTGCTGTTGTTGTTGTTGCTGTTGTTGCTGCTGTTGTTTATGCAAACGCATGGGGCATGTCTCCCGCGACTCTAATGACTTCAATGCCTGCTGCGACTGCAACTGCGTCCGCCTGTCAGCTTTTCCAAGGCACACAATGAAAATCATTTTCCAGTTCCCCCCACCGACTGAGTTGTTTTTTATTGTATTTTCAAATTCTTTATATATGTTCATACATTACATGCAACCTCTGCCCTACGCCTCGATCCCCGATCGCCGAGCCCCAGGCCCCCAACTCCAAACTCCAAGCCCCAATGCCCCTGTGTCCCTGATGCTATTTCTGACGCATTTCTTTGCCACTGCCACTGCCACGTTCAACATAATGAAAATCCATATGATGTCGATGACTTTTTTGTTTTTCTATGGCTCCGACAACGTCACAGGGCTTCGATGAGTCTCTCGCTTAAAAAACACCATCGCTCACACACATCGGCATATTCAAATGTGCATGTGCCGCACGCTCTTGATGTTGTTGTTTCTCTGCTCTCTAATCTCCAAATGTCGTTGAACTTTTTCCTTTATGATTACTTTTGCTGTTGTTGTCGCTGTTGTTGTTGTTGTTTTTATTGTTGTAGGCATTGCGCACAACTTTATTATTATTGTTATTATTCCGGAGCACTTTCCGCATATTGTTGTTGCTTCTGCTTCTGCCGCTGTCTCTGCCTCTGCCTCTGCCGCTGTCACTGCCTCTGCCTCTGCCTATTTGCAGATTCTACTCATATTATCTGCCTACCCCACCTCCCTCAGCTCTTGTCTCGTATTTTATGTCATAGTAGAAAAACAACCACAACAACAACTGATGACAACGATAACAGCAACAACAACAACAACAAGAGCTGCACACGTGCATTCTGCTGTTGCCGCTGTTGCCGCTGCTGCTGCTGCGTCTCTGCAATTATTTCCAATTTAGCAATACAACACTGGCTCCAGCAAATACCTCAGCCTGCCCCGCCACAGCGTCAGCTCCCGGGCAACTGCTGCTCCTATTGTCTTTTCTGTGGCAGTTCATTGGCCGCCAGTTGATGGAGCTCCAGCTGCAGCCAGCATCACGGCTGGGGTCAGGCTTGCTTCATGCAATTACTTCATGTACATGGGCTACAATAACACGGACGCGATGAGTAGTGGAAAGTCGAGAGTTGGGCATCAGGCAACGGGCATCGGGCATCGGGCACTGGACGAACTGTACGTAAACTGGTTGCAGTTGCAGGATGCTGTACTGGACTGGAGTGGAGTAGACGCTGCATAAAACTCTACTATCTATCTATCTATGGCTGGGTCTAGGCAAGGCGAGGCTAGGCTAGGCTAGGCTAGGCTTGGCTTGGCTTGGCTTGCCTTCCATTGCCTTTCCATTGGGAAAACCAGTTATGGGGCAAGGCTTGTTGCACGCCTGCTTGCCACAGCGTTGTCAGCGGCAATGATCATGCCAGGAGCAGCAACAACAGCCAGCCAGCCTAGACCTGTTGCTGATTGTTGTTGCTGTTGCTGTTGCTGTTGTTGTTGCTGTTGCTGTTGTTGTCGTTCTGGCTTGTTGAGGCAGCAACTTAAAGGCTATTGACTTTGTTTTTCTATTGCCAGTCTTTGGGCACACAGCACTTCCTCCTCCAGCTGGATATTGCTGTTTGCGTTAGTTCATTGAACCGCGTCACATTCTAATGTCCAGCAAACGTGTTTGGCAGCTTGCAGCAGTGGGAGTGCAGTGCCTTCGTAACATCAGCATAGACAAAAGTAACAACAACAACAACATCAAGAACCAAGCTAATCAACATCAGCAGCAACGTAAAGACTTTTCTAAGTAACTTGATATTTAAATGTATTTCATATTCAAAAATAAAATTAATTGTGACATTAGAACTTTCTCTATTTTGGCAATTTCTGTTCATATATGGCTAGCAATGACATCCACGCCTCTTCAGTTTAAGCAAGCTTCATATATAGCAAAGTAATTAAGTCAGAACTATTACAGGAGATCTGTCTATCTTTGGCAGACTAAATCATCTAGTTTCCAAATGGGTTTATATAGAATATAACATATATAAATATATACATATATGTGTTAATGTATACAGCCCATATATTCTTTTAATAAGTTTTGTAATCTACTTGTAGTTTTTCATTTGACATAGCAATATGCAAATATACCAGTTATATATATTTATAAATAATTTAAGACAAGAAAACAACAAAACAAGTTTTTACCTATTACAAATCCTATTCGATAGTAAGCCGATCAGGCGTAATCCAACACACACAGAGCCGTGGAACCTGCTTGCTTAGTTCCAAACAGATAAGTGTACGTAATTTTGGGCGTGGCTGTTGATAGGGATTGACAACTCATAGATTTGAATATGTTCGACTCGAATGGAACGTGAGGGTTGCGTGTGACGACCTTGCCAGACACACCTCCCGATTAGGAAATAATAATAATTTACTTCTTTATCAAAACTAATTTCAATTGAAATCTTATCAGTATTTGCCAACATAATAACATAGTTTTGAATAATGCAACTAATGAGACTTTATTTGATTTGACTGATAAAAGCCAAATTCATTCAATCAAGTTGAAAGTACGGCAAACGTTTGAAATTTTCACAATTGCCAAGAGCATTTGCTCCAATGTGCGCACAATGTGGGGGGCAAGGGGAGATCGGGTGCACCCGTGGTCAATGAGCACTCTTGGCCTGTCCATCAGCGAATGGTCAGGCTCTGCTCATATCGCGATGAGCTTCGTCTCTGTCTCCGCTTCCGTCTGTCTCTCCGTCAGCAGCTCCGGCTTCGGCTAATCAGTCAGCAAGGCACTCAGCGAAGCGTGAAACGCAACTGCTGATATCTAGACACATTCAATTAATAAAATCAACAGCAACAACTGTGCCCACATCCATGGCCCTTCAATACTGGTGCCTGCCCTGTCAGTGGTCAGGACAACGGGACATTGGGACAGGCGACATATAGGGCAAGCATTTCTATATTTTGTTCAGCCAGTCAACGCCTGGCCATGCACCAGTACAAGCCAGCGATTGATGGCGTGGAGCTCTGGTCGCGTCGAGTTTTGCTGGCGCTTTACCAAGCGGCTCGCGGCCTGTCGCTGCTCTCCAGCTCGCTGGGTGTGGAGCGGGAGCAACTGCAGCTGAGGCCGCCGCGACAACAGTGCAACCGACTGTTGATCATACTCTGGCGCGCCATCTTGGTTAGCATCTACTGGAACATGATTCCGGGAATCTTCAACTCAGTGAAAATTATAAAGACCTATGCAGCTCTCATTGTCCTGCTGCAGTCCAGCTCTGTGAGCCTCTTTGCCGTCGGCTCGTTCATAATGCAGGTGCGTGCCGAGTCCAGATTTACGGCCGTATTGAATCATTATATATCACTCTATGGACGCATCTGTGTCCTCACCGGAGCCGAACATCTCTTTACGCTCAAGTTCCCCATTTTCTATGCCCTGAAGCTGATTCTGACGCTCTGCGGCTGTCTCTACGAGCTGCCACAGCTGCTACCACTGCGATATATTCTGCACATGGATGTGGGTCACGTGATCGGAGGCCTAATTGCGATTTATTTGTGGCTAGGAACTATTTTTCTGCTGGATGCGTGCTTCCTTGGCTTCTTCGTATCCGGCGTACTCTATGAGCACATGGGCTCACATATTGCGATCATGCTGCAGCAGATGCGTTCCATTGATATGGACGATCAGGTACAGTCATCCGATGATGAATCCGAACCGAATCTCAATACATATGAGAATGTGAGTCCGATGCCGTGGCGGCTGAGTCACTATAGACGTATGTGCTTACTGTGTGATCGAGCCGACGAACTGGACGCCTGTGGCATAATCTATAGTGAACTTTATAGAGTAACTCTCTCGTTTCGCGACATTTTCCAGTGGCAAATCCTATTTTACATATACTACAATCTGATTGTTTTGCTAATAATGCTTTACGAGTATATAGTTAACTATTTGGAGGGCACCCAGGGTGAAATGGTGCCCGTGGTAATGACCTGCATTAAGATGGCCAACATTGTGCTGTTGATCATGTGCGCGGATTACATGATCAAAAAATCGACGATGCCACAGATATTGCCCTTGGACATCGTGTGCACCGACATGGATCAGCGGTGGGACAAAAGCGTAAGTCGAAATCTTACAAAAAAAAAAAACCACATAAAAAGAATTTTCTTTATGAATTTTCCATAATAGGTGGAATCGTTTTTAAATCAGCTGCGAGCACAACAACTGGAAGTAAAAGTCGTGGGCATCCTTCAGCTTGATAACAGATTCATACCAACAATATTATCGGCCATTGTAACATATCTTTTTATATTAATACAATTTGCTTTCACGGGCGGCTTTGATGTAGCTGAAGAGATCGCCAGATTGAACATAACAATTTGAGAACCAAAAATATACATATGTATATGAATCATTTACAATATTTTATATTATTTAAAAATAATATTGTATATAAAATTTTTGTGAAAACATTTCACATAGAAATGCGATAATCTACGATCTAAAATAAATAAATGGATCGAGGGAGAGGCGGAGACATAGAAAGCGAGAGAGAGTATATTAGAGAACACAAATTTGATTGACTGAAGAAGCATCTTTTATAGGAAATAAATAATTAGAAGTTAATAAGCTAACATTCTTATAGAGCATACCTTCTCTTAGATTGATTCTCCTATATTTATGACATCTCCTCCTCCATTCCCTATATTCTTTGATATTCTTACAAAGCTATAAATGATACCCCTTTTCAAATACATTTGCAATGGGTATAAAGCATGAAACAGCTGTGAAAAAAATCAACCCCCAATCGCTTAGCAATAAAATATTATTAATTGTTCATTGTCATTGAATAATGATATAATTTTTGAACGAAATTTATGGATCGGAGAAAGGGTTTATTTAATATTTGTAACTCATGTTCAGCGAGGCCAGATGGCTCCAAGTTACATTCGCTCTTGGTTTTGGGCTGTGGTTTTATTAGATCTTTTGCGGTTAGTTCACGCATGTGTTTGTAGGTCTTGTGCCTCTTTCACTGAACTTTTTTTTCCAAATTTATGTTGGCCATATTATCGTTCATTATATTGTGCTCCATTATACGTACCAGCTGATACAATTCGGAGATGGGTGGTGCTGAGAAGTTGGTGCTCGTTAGGTAGGCAGCAGCATAACAATGACCCGACGAACGAATTCGGAGCTAACACGGTGTAATTATCATAGCTATGTCTGGCCCCTCAGTTCCTGTTCCGCCCACCACGCCCGCCCCAATTATCAACATCGTCATCTACAAAAGCGTCTTTGTCTTTGATTATTTTTGGGCGCCAGCCGAGCGTAACGCGCTTGTCACGCCTATTATACAGCTATACGCTTTTCAAGTACATATATGTATGTGTTGTATATATATATATACATATATGTATATATGTATCTCAGCTGAACCTGAACTCAGCACCGTTTTTGACCCGTGTGCGTTCAGTGTGTGATTCGCTTCGCAAAATACTCATGCACTGAACAAAGCAAAAAAAAAAACAGAGAAAGCAAAACGAAACCAGCAAAATACTATAGAGTAATATGCATGCATAGCAAGTCGAAAGTGCAATACCCTCTAATACACAATGCAATATTTTCAGCTGTTCAAAAGAGCGCATCATAAGAGCAATAATATATATTTAGTTGGAATATAGATCTTGAAAATTTCTCTTGTTGAGCTAACTATATCACACTTAGTTCTATTATGCCTCTGTGAGAGTATCGACATACATAGATCTCTAGATTTATATAGATATTGATATATGTCTTGGCATACTGGGGCTACACTTCTACTTCTGAACTGCTTATTCAAATCGAATCGTTACCAATCCCATAGACGACTGATTATACCTTGTCTATGTCTGCAGGAAAATAAGCAACTAAAACTCGCCTACATTGCAACTGAATTAATTTGTTATTTTGTTAATTTTTTTTTTTTTTTTTTTTTTTTTTTTTTTTTTTTTGTGGTCGGCTGCACACGCTGGCGAACATCGTTGGCAACAGAGCTCCCAATTCTTCCTGACAGGGCGCATTCAAATTTGTTTTTGCCCATTTGGAGCTGCTGGCCAAAAGGCCAAGCAAGCCATGCATATTTCCGGCCAGTCGCCCATTCCCGTCCAGTCCAGCCGCCCCATTAGCCAGCTTCGATTTCCTGCCTCAACCGGGCATTCCAAGTATTTGCCATGTACTTAATTAGCTCAACTCCCCGTCGGTTGGCTCTCTTTCAAACCAAATGCTACACCCTGTGCCCTATGGCGCGTGTGTGTGTGTGTGTGTGTGTGTGTGTGTGTGTGTGTGTGTGTGTGTGTGTGTGTG